ATTTCTACTTAATTCCTAATTTGCAAATTTAAAATGATCTACAAAACTTTAGGAAATTTGTAGACAATCAATTTTATGAAGAAATGGCAAATAAGAAATAATATGCCGAACTTTTCCTAATCTCCAACTATTTTCATATAATGTATTGACCCAGACTTTATTGAAATTGATGTGAAATTCTAATATTTATTAAGATGCCATTTGAAAATTGTGATAAGAAGTGAGATTTTTCAAAAAAAAAAAAAACTTCTGCTAGATATTATAAATCTTCCTCCAATTCATTGAAGCCCGAAAGCTTCACCCAAACCATTCCGCTTTCATTTCTTTGGACCCTCCATTCAGAACTGCAAATTATAAATCGAAAGTGATAGTAATGTTAATTTCACTGAGAATAAATTATTAGTGAATATTGGATGATTTCCATTCTCCAATTTAGAACAAAATTTGAGCCAAACATTTTATCGCTGTTTTGATTACATCATCAAATTTCCTGAAAAATTATTTCTCCGCCCTTCACTTCTTTAACAGTAAGAATTTTATTTTTTTTTTTCTGAAATATGTATTTTATAAGTTTTATTAGAAAGTTAGAAGTTAATAATTTTGCAAACTTCACGTTGCTTTTTCTTATTTTTTCTGAAAGCCCAAGTTTTCTAGAATTTCTCATTTTTACCTATGACATTTTAGTTTTTTTTTAAAACAAAATTTAAATTATCTGTCTACATGTTCTCTTGTACTAATTGCAACAAGATATTGAACCAGAAATGGTATATTTTTTATTTTAGAACTTTTCATCGATCTTTTAATGACTTCAATGTTTATCGATTAATACGAGCTTCATTTAGCTCAACGGATTCCATAAGCGCTTCAGCAGTACTATTAAATTTATTATTTGCCACGTCTATGGTATTAAAATGCAAATGTACTACTCAGAGTAGTAATACTGCTGAATGCATAAATGGTGTTTGCAATACACTTTCCGAACCCGCTGGTCGGTTATTTTTCCGGTAATGTTGTAAATCATATATGTTTAGAATAATTACGCACATTTACTGATTATAAATCATTAAAACAAATTTTTGTAAATGAAAGATCCACAGAGAAAATCTGGGAAAAGTGAAAGCACTGACCATCAACATTTCCACGAAATTTTTTTTTTCGTTGATGAATTTTAAACATCACCGCACAATACTAATAGTCTTTTGAGAATGCTGCACTATCAGTGATTTCTTAAATAAATTTCAACACAACTTATTATTTCTAACTCTTTTTTTGCACTGTTAGTTCATTTACAACAAAATGTTACATTATACTTATAATTTCAAATTAGAATCAAAAAACATTACAGCCAATTCAATCTAATTACATGAATCTGATAACTTCTTATCACATTCTATACAATATCACTTGGGCTTATAGCAATTTTCAACCAGCAATTGTCAGCTGTTAAATTAATACAAAAACCACAGTAAATGTTTCGACGTAATGTGAAATATTTCATTTTGTTCTGTTTGAATGAGGGAGGAAGTAAAGGAAGTGAAATGGATGAAATTAATATGTAATGTGAGGCATTCATTCACTTCCTCGAAATTTTTTATTTTACTTTAAAAAATATTATCCGAAACAATTAATGCTTCGTTGAGTCCCAATCATTTCCGTCCTTTTATTAATGTTTTGTTTTCAAAATTGTTTTAACCATTTTTTTAAATTGTAAAGCATTTTTTTTACAAAGTTTGTGTTGGAATTGCGAGAATATTAAAGGATGGCAGTAAATAATGAGTGAGTGGGTAACAGTTTGTTTGAGGTGATATGTATGGATGAAGTGTTGCGTAATGAGTTTAAATTCTTCTTAAAATTTTTTTCTTACTTTAAAAATATTACAATAAGTCCGGACATTTGACTGACATATAAACCTTCCTATGTAGAAATTAATTGTAACATTTTTTGTTTCAATTTTCGACAGATCTTTAGCATTGATAGGTTGTTATAACAAATCGATCGTTTTTTTGTGATAAATTAATTTGTTAATCAAACATTCATTCCATGAATGATATTGTTTTTTCTTGTGAAAAGCTTGCTACCTTTAATTTATCGGTCGAGATTAAAGATAAGCAGAATTTTGAAATTTTTGCTTCAAATAATTTTAATACGACAAGAAAACTATGGAAATTTTTTAAAATCATTATTTTAATTGATAAAAGAGAAAAGATTTTATCACTTATTTTAGAAAAAGCGACGGCAATTTCTTTATGACACTTATGATTTCGTTTTTAAACAATGCTGTTTTGCAAAATGACAGAGATTTAAATTTCAGAATAATTGAATGAATAAAGGTTTAAAGACTAATATTTGTCATCTTACCTGTCATAATACCAACTATGATGGTAAGATGAGGAACAAAAATAAATATGATAAGTATTATCATAATGTTTCAAAAAAAAGTTAAAGGAAAAACATAATAACTATCATTGTGTAATCGTTATAATATCGTTCCATTATTCGATTTTTTTTCACGTCTTACAAAATAATGTGATTTAACGACAGAAAAACTTTCCGCCATTAAAATTGACTTTTTAAAATGAATTCCATCCGTTGTTGTACTGAGGAGTATATTATTCTTATGGAAAAGAATTCCGTTCCAATATTTAATTTTAGCGAAATTTTTTTAATACTATTGAAAGTTATCATCGCATTTTTCTTTTTTTTTGGATGTCCGAAGCATCAAAAATTGATTTCGAAGGGCAAAGTTAAAATTAACGAAGTAGTGAGTAGTTCAGTGAAGAGTACGAGATGTCTTATAAAAGAGAGATTTCATGTTGTATAAAAATGAGAAGTTAATACGACATTGAGAGGTAAGAGTTGGATGTATGGAAAATTGATTAATCCAAAATAATACGATAACAGCATAATGGAATTAATACGGATCACTTGATCAGTGAGAGGATTGATCGGAATGATTCGATCGATTGATCTAAACAAAGAAGCATTCGAAATAAACTGCCTCTCGTTCCAGACCCAGAAGAATCTTTAAATTATCTCATTAATCTTTTAATTGTCGTGCACATTTAGCTTAACTTCTATTTCAGTATGTGTGATGTTGAATCACACCAAAACAGGAGTTCATTATGCATGTTCAAGCAATGATCTACCGGATGGTTTGTGTCAAGAGCGGCAGACAAAATCCAATATTACAGTGAACATTTGTTCCTGGCAATTATTGTAATTATTCAAATTGGCCAAACGATCTCATGTCTATTCGGAAGGAAAATAATACTGTCAACTCTTCCGCGAAGTCAAAGTTCGGCCTTGAAACAAACTATTAACTCCAATTATTTCCTCATCTTCTCTGCCTTTATGACAACTATATTAATTCTTATTTAGCATTTTATAATTTAATACACCATATTATTCATCTATTCAATATTTTAAATCTCATTAATAATTCTTCAAATTTAGAAGAAGGCGAATTTTCCATATAATTTCTGAATAATAACTTCTTCGTCTATTTGTTGTTCAACCTTCCAAATTATCTGCTGTTTGATTCGTTGAAAATGTTATGAAGCAAAGATCATCTGGAAACTTACATTTAGTGCAATTAGAAAAATGTATGTAAGAAAAAAAGAATCAGCAAATTTTTATCTGCGATAAAAACACCCAATTATTTGCATATATTTGCAAAACTTCTTTTCTATTTCATCGATGGATGGGATGATGCAAATGCTAAATAACAGTTCAGGAAGAGTGCAATCATCAGAATTCAATACTTGCAAAGAAAAAAGACAATTTCAGTACGATGTATTCATCATATATCTGTTCCTGACATACTTGTAATATCTATTTTTTCCTAAATCATCTGACAATGCGTATTTTAAAGCGATGATCTTTTTATTTTGAATAAATATCCCATTGATTAATTCCAGAGGCATAGACGGAAATGTTAAAAGTATTGTGCTTAAAACATTAGTAAACAATGAAAATATTAAATTTTACGAGGAATGATAAATATGATAGATATATCTCTAGCAGGATTTCTGGTTGAAAGTTAAACGATTACACTACCATGGTTGAAGTACAGCACTAACATTTAGCGGAAAAGCAACGAATTGTTAACAATCCATATGACTAACATGAATACTTTGCAAATAATAAAGCCCTATAACCTAATTATAATATATTGTTGCGATATTACCATATGAACTAATCGGTAAAGCATAAATTTAAAATTGCTCCATGAGACATGTTGATATATCTATTAACTAGGATTTCAAAAGCTTGGCTTTTAATCTTTCAAGAAGAATAAAAGCCAAAGTAATGAAAGGATTGGCAAACTGTTTCTGTTTAAAAAAACATTCCTCAGTCAATACTTTACTGAGATTGAAAATTGAATTAGTATCCACTATGAATTTCTCTGAACAAAAAACACCCATCCAACTAATAATTTTTTTTTAACTTTCAAATACTTTCCAAAATAATATTAACAATTGCTGGGAATATTTTAAGAATATTGTTTGATTAAAAGATAAGTTTAAACATTTCTTGTTTATTTTTTCATTAATTTGATGTAAAATTCTAAGCAAATACTAACAATAATGAGCACATATATAATAAATTATTAACATTAACTCAATCGTATAACAAAATGAAAAAAATAATGATAGGAATTGTACTGTAGGCAATAATAATAATGATTAATTTGATTACTTTACTAATGTAACCTGCAGGGAATGAAATTTTGGTTAGTGAAGTAGATAAATTTAAAAAAAAAGAAGTTTTTGGAAGCAGATCTTTGATCCTAATCATTCCATATATTATATATTATGCAATATCAAAAAATGCTATGAATAATGATGCAGTAGGTAGGCATTTTCCAATTTTTCTACTTTATCACCGTATTTTACCATATGCAATTCCTCAGGTTTGCTATACCGGTTAATAAACCCGGGCCTACACCAAACACTTCCAAACAGAATGCCATGAAGTGAAGAAAGGTATCTTTCAGTGTTTTAATCTACACCATCAAACGATCGGATTATTTCACCCGGTGGTCGATCATCGTTAACAGTGAGTGATAAGGGTCCACGGCTATCGGTTGTCTGTACCGATATATTGTTGTCCAAATCGTTGGGACGATAAGTTATATAACCAAGGATAGTACCCAAGATGGAAACCAATTTGCATACTATTGCTGAAAAGACTTTTTGCTCTATCTTTTCTTCGAAAAATTCTTTGAAAGATTTTCCAAAAAGAACATACCAACGGCCATGATAGTCCAAGATAATCGGTAAGGATCATAGACCAAACAGGACTGCCGTTTTCCGCATTCCTCTTTCCACTTCAAACAAGCTGTATCTATCATCATACCGAATAAAACTCCTCCAGGAATAAATCCTGAAAAAATATTAAATTAATCTCACTTAGGCTAATTAAGCCTTGCACTAATTAAGCCATTAAATTAGAATCATGGAGATTTGCTTCGAATTTTATTAAAAAATGAAGTTCTACTAAATAGTTTTATTAAAATTCGAATGAAAAAGTTAATCTGAACATAAAAAAATCTAACCTAGAAGTCGAAGAAATGTCCAATGGACACCAATACCTAAAGTACGCTGTTCAAACGGCACTACTCGAAGCATTATCTGCAAAAATAAAATGAGAAATAAATATACTTTAAGATATTAAAATAAGCTATCAGTAATAATTCTTTTGCAAATTTTGCCCGTTTTGATCTCATACTTCATTTGAATATATTGAAAAATGATAGCTTATCCAAATAATTCGGTAAATATTGTCCATATCATTTTCAAAACTTAAGAGAAATCTTTTTGAAACTGAATGATAGGAAATTATTTAAAGATCTTCGTTTTTTTAAGGTCTTTCATTTACGTAAATCTTTTTACTATATAATTGATATGTTTTGATTTTAAGCAATTAATTCCGGTAAAGTCAATCAATATGAATGGGATTAAACAATACCTGTTGAGATGGAATTCCGGTAGCAAAACTTGCAACCACCGAAAAGAATAGCAAAACAAGAAATAGCCATTGAGCATATCCGCACTCCTTTTCACAAAAACCTTCATGCAAATGATTATCTTTATATTGTACCTCTGAAGCATACGATACCAATTCATCGAAACAAACACAATTACTCCAATACGTTCCCTTAAATATGTATAAATTAAAACCAAATATGGTCATGCATACGGTATGCTGCATATGCTACAGTACATATATCATACTATATGTTACAGTATCGCTTACCGATGAATTTTGTACCCAATCAGTACAACCGGCGTAACAAGCAGAATAAAATGTATAGCCAGTACCCTTATGATAAACTGGATTCCATTTCTCTGTACAATGACAGTTGGCATTGCAGGTAGCATGTAAGCTAGCGGTAGTACCTTTTACCCTTCTGCAACATGAAACTTTAAAATTCTATTTGTTAAAGAACAATATATCTGTAAAATGCAAAGTTCGAGTAACACTGGAATCTAGAGAGATAATTTTGAGCAAATATCATTTTCTTAATACCTATTTTTCTTTTCTTTTAAACAACCTATCAAATAAATGAAATTTGTCACTTACTGATTATTGTAGCTTAGATTGATCCCAATAAAGTCACGTGCTGGACACTGTATTAGAAAGCATGGCGTAAGTATCAAGGCTATCAGATGGGAAACGAATATTAGTTTCAGCATTCCACTCACCTGGAAAGTATAATAAACAGCTTGGTTATCATCGAATAAGTTAACTGTAAATTGACTTAACGTAATCATAGCTATAACTATCATAAATGAATTTTGCTAGAAATGATGATATATGGCTTTCCTTTCACGATGGTATCTTTTTCGTTATAATGACTATGAATTATTAGTTAATTGAACTGCATAATAAACCTGTAAATTAAATTGTCGTATTAAAGCTCCACCGAGCATAACGCCAGCTGCAGCAGCAAATATTACTATTGCTGAAAATATTTATAGAAATCAGATATGTTATACGTTATTTGTTATTATCTGAGAGAGGAAATTCACGAATGAAGCAATAAATAAACTTATAAGATCTTTTTGAGTTTTAATACTGCATTAAATTTTAAATGAGGTATTATACAATTTTCATCTACAAATATCACTTAAGTAATGAAAATAATGCAATTAAGTGATACTGAAATATTTAAAAATAAAAAAAAAGATTGGCAATGTTAAGTTTCAAAAAATGTATATTATTTACTGACAAGAAAGATAGGAAGCTTTAGTTGGAGTTGTACTCAGTACGGCTTCTAGAATTTTCGGCATAAATGCAGCAAATCCATTAATAACAATTGATTCGAAAATACCTAACACGATTGTGGTAACAAATGTCGGATTTCGTAAAATATTCTGTAGAATGATATAATTAAATAAGTATATTTGAAGTAAGAATTTTTATTTGTCTTCGTTTATTACAGTATAAGAAATAAAGTTAACTACCAGAAAATTCTGCTGTTTCTAATAACAAATTGTGTAAGCGCAATTTGTTATGTTCACTTCATAAAAATAATCACTACTTTATCATTATCTTTCTACAGTGTTTTGTATCTGAAATACTGAACGAGCAAATCGTTTAAATTAAATTATGAATTTTAATTCCAAACAAAATTATTGAACGGGACTTCGATTCTAATACTAAAGTGTTAGCACAGAGATTTCTTTAATTGAAACTTACCCAAACAGCTCGTGGTAGATACTTAAGATTTCCTTTCATGATAATATCTTTTTCGTTTGTTTGTGAGATTGCATGCACCTGCAATAATAAAAAAGAATTTATTAAATCATCGAATTGTTACCAGCGAAAACCAAAAGATTTGTGACAAATTGTATGAAGAACGGTCAATCATCTACTTTATCTCTTGCATATTCGGAGATTCTTTGTTGCAATTCGTAAAATTCGTTGTTCATTCATCGAATGACTGTCACTTCTCTGTTTAAGTACAAAACTATCTGCCACATCAAGTGAGTATCATCTAACGGGGTTAGTGAAACTTATTGCTTCGAGAGTCAGTCACATTATTTACATCAACAGACAGACTCGACATTGATTCTTCCATTACACGATTACTTATTGTTTGAAGTTGGGATTTAATCAATTCTTTATCAAATTTTATCAAAATTTAGAAACGATTGTTTCAATCTCAATTATCAAGAAATTTTCATCAATATAATAACTGTCATATTGCATTACCGCTAATCCTCCATAAAAAATAAATGTTCACAACAATCTTCGTCTATGAAACAAAAACTACTCGATCAAAAATTTTTCACGGCAATTTTTATAACTGTATAAAAAATAAACTGTCTGTTTTTTTTTTGACGAAACTTCAAATTTAAGTTGAAACAATTAATTGAAATATTTTCAAAAATTGTTAGACATTAATTATAGTGATAATATGTAATATATAATAAGCTTGATAAGATATGTTTTAAAAAAACCTGATTGACGTCTTTCAAACGATGTTTTTTTGCCTCTGGTAACTCTCGAGCAAACATTAAAATGGGAAAAGCTGTAATGAAGGCAAGAATTGCTGAGCCAAGAAAACCGAGCCACCATGCACCAACCCATCGTGGGTCAGATGAATCGTTCATTTTTATCCTAAAAATTTAATTCGCAATTGTTTACAATTTATTGAACGCAAAAATAAAGCCAATATGAAATTTCTAATAAAGTGGTAACAGATAAACTGATTACCAGATTAAATATCAGTATTGGTGGTGAATGCGATGTTACAATGAATAGATTAAATAGATCAGAACCAAATAGTGAAATCTGATTTGTCAAATAATACGGATTTGGTCAAATGATAGGACAGATTTAGAAATTCATGGGAAAAACGAGGCTATATCAGAGCGTTTTTTGTTCGCTTTTGAAAAAGCGAAATATCAGTGCAACTAATACACTATTAAAATTTCATCATGTTTCGAAAAATAGCTTTTTACAAAAAAAAAAGAATCCACATATCTGAGCTTACGTTGACATGTCTATACGATCAAAATCCGTATAAATTGTTAGCAGAAAACCACCAACGAAAAGTCCAATAACAGGTCCAATAGACGTCACTACTGAATGAATAGCTGAAATTTGAACAATATTGTGTTCTAAAAAATTTAACAGACTTGAAATTAAATTTAAAATATTGTCAAGATTGTACCAATGCTTTTTACCCAAATAAACAGGTGATGCTTTTTGCGAAACATTTTCATCCAAATATGCGGTGCCAATCGAGAATAATGGTGTTGCACCAATACCGTGCAATGTTTGGCCGAGCAAGAACATCAGAAAATAAGGATTTAAGTATGAGGCTGAACTGGAGAGATGCTTTGAACAGTCCGATGCCAATTCATCCCTGTAACATTTCGAAATTACACGAACAAAATTCTAGGATTTAACAAAAACTTAACATAAGATCACAGATTATACTTAACTAAGCAGCCTTATCACACTCATTATCATTAGAACATTCCCAAGAACTCTGTGTCATACGGCATTCGAAACTGGAAGAAATTACGGTCTCACGGCATTACAATCTTCTTGACAGATATGTTAAAAAAAAAAGACTCTTTACTGATTTGTCCAATAAACTGCCCACTACTAAATTTACTAAATTTCAAAACATTGCAAAAATAAGGAACTCCTGAATATAAATTATGCAAATTGAAACCTGTATGTGCATTGACCATGTTCACTTTCGTTAAGTTGCGTTTCATGATACTGATAAGGTGATATCATGTAATGCGGTAATACACAAATAAATGAACCAAATGCCATTAAAAATGAACCTATACCTATCCAACGACCTTTGTGACCTGCCATAATATAATATGAAGAAGTTACCTGTTATTAAGCCAGATCGCTAATGACTACTTTATCCTAATCAATGAGAGTTATTCTTGGCATAACAAAGTCAAGGACCAAAATATAAAACAAAAGATCTATTTCACAAAAGTATATATGATATTATTTATTATTCGTATTGCATATCATTTTAAGCCAAGTAAACATTACTGATTTATTTTCACAAGAAAACATACCCGTATTACCCCAATGACATACTGGAAATACCGCAATAAGAATTGCGAAATCGTACCAACTTGATATGATTCCAGTTTGCGTACTATAACATAAGACACATTTTGATTAGAAACTGAAATTGTAAACTATTTTGTAAATGCATTTCAAATATCTACATTCATGAATTATGCAATATTGATCACTTAAATACGAAATGGATGATAACTGTGATATTCAACAAACCTCGTCATATGAAATCGTTTTTCAAGCGTTGATAAACCCACAGGAAATATACTGTTAACAACGAAGCTTTGCACAAATGCGCAGATACCAAGCATAAGTAGCAGCCATTTGGCGGTGTGGAACTTTTGCAGCCATCTCGGCGTACACCTGCAATATAAAAATTTAATTATCTATACTCATTAAAATAGGTGGAAGGACAAAAATGATTCGTGGTAAGTTCTAATTAACAGAGGATGAATAAGGCTTATGGAAAATGGATTTACCTGCCGTAACCACATAATAGTTGCTCATCATCGCTATCACTGATAATATTACCAGTTTCATTGGGTTTCAGAGACAAATGTCGTGATCGGACATCTTGCGTTTCAAGCGATGAAGATGCATAATTCTCCATCGACACGTCCACTTCTTTCCAGCACTTTGGATTAGTTCCTTTTTAAAGATTTTTAAATTTCGAAATTTGAAGAAAAATTTATTCGTTTCTTTCAATTTTCCGAATATTTCACCCATAATATGGAAAGGATCCATTCATACTGCTGTTGCTCATGAAATTATGATACAAATTGAAAAAGCTACATCGATAGGAAACTTTTCCATTTGTTAATGAACAGGTATGTACCGAAAGAAAAAAGGTTAACCCGGGTTCATATGTACTTACTTCGGTTCCGTTCTCTGATATTTCCCGTTGATCAGCCGTCTGCAAGCAGTCATTTAATTAGTAAGCTATCAGAATGAAATTGGCAGCAGGATGCTTCTTTCTTGCACAATCGCGTCAACCATTTTCCAATCAGTAACTGTGAAATGAACAAATCTAAACAATTTTGAATGCGAATGAAAATGCGATTCTTAAGAGCTTGAGAGCCTATCTTAAGACGAAATCAAATGCGCTTAATAAAAACATATCGCAAACCACGCAATAATTTTCACGTTCGATAACACGTTCCTTTCATTTATTTGCAAATTTGAACTATCATTTAAATATCACAGAATGTGGCAACTCATCTTGACAGTACCGCACTGCGAACCATCAAGTGAGTATTTGCATAAATGAACTTAACGATTAGAGTAAGTAATAATGAATATGTCATTTTATAATAAACGGAAAGAATTATTATCAGTGATTAAACATTGGTTAAATTATGGGAAAAAGTGAAATAAACAGAGTTATAAATCATTCTTACCAAATTGAACACACATGTACACATATAGCAAGTGCACCTTCAACAAGCTGAAATTTGAATTTAACCTTCCATAATAGAAATAGAAAAAAAAGCTAGAAGTAAAGTTCTTGTGAAGGATATTTTTCAGAGAAAGAAATTAAGTGAGGTTAGATCATTCCATATTTTTTCTAAATCAATGAATTACATCAAAATTTGGACAAAATAAGAAGGTAGGTGAAGAAAATATAATTTTTATTGAAGTGTCACACCAAAATAAATAAAAGGCATTTATAATTTTTAATTATGAAAGAGGTACTGATTGAATACAACGAAGTGATTGGTTAATTTTTTTTCTTCTAGAAAAAAAAAGTGAGAGTATTTTTTGTATGACTCATAAAGCATTGTAATTTGTGATAAACATTTATGACATCGACCGTTCATTCATCAGCTATTGTCGTCCTTTTCCGAATTCTCAGTTTTTTCTTAAAATTATTACAAAATATTGAATAAAATATATATTTTTTAAATCATTTCTCGTAGAAAAATAAGAAGTAAATGAAAAAAATGGGAGGAAGTGAAGTGCAAACAGTAAAGAAAGAAAAGTGCTAATTAAATGAAAATGGAGTGATCACGGTGGCAGTAAGTAAAATAAGCATGAAATATTGACTTCAAATTTACTAATGCTTTTTAATTCTCCGAAAAAAGTAAAAAATTTTTCTCTATAAAGATTTCTATCTTCAGGATCATTTAAACGCTTTCATTTCAATTATTTTGCAATATACTGTTCGATCATGAATTGATTGATAACAAAAGTTGAATGAGTCATCGTTACCTAATAAATGTGCTACTTTCAATGTTATTGGGTCAAAAGTTGACGAATAATTTTGAGATTCAGGTAAAATCAAATTTAAAACATTTTGAAACAAATTTTGAACAATTCCTCATTGTAATACATTTAACATACTTCACAAGTATTTTAGATGTGTCAAAAAAATATGAACTCAAATGTAACATCCAAAAAGTCATGTTATCCAAGTTTATGCAGTGATACCTCTAAGCAACTGATTAGTGTGAATTAAATTTTGAGTTCTGGACTTATAATCAGTCTTGGAATATGGTATTCCTCTTTGAACAAATCCCATAATTAAAAAGAATCCTTTTATATCAGTATAAAAATCGTTGATAATTCCGTTAATAAATAATAGTAGCCAAACAATAATTATGATGACAATTGACCTATGAAATTCATTCACTAAATTTTCATTTATTAAATTAATGATTAATTGTTATTGCTCCGTCATCTCTAATTCATTCGATTGATAGCAGGAAATGCAAATGATAAAAGAAGTAAAAAATCAATAAATAATATTCATATACATATATAAATCTGTAATATCAATTATGAAAACTCAGGATTGCATTTGATTATCGATAGAGATAAAGAAGAAAGAGAAGGAGAGGGAAGGATAAAAAAGAAATTCGTAACAACTAAAGAGGAGGAAATGATCAGATGAATTAAGATATCTTCATGTTGTAAGAAGTTTCAACAATTGAAGAAAAGTGGTGTGACAACGATGTGATAGTAAAATGTGTGCGATAAAAAAAATCATGGCGCAGTGAGTCCTTTACAGATGTTAGTTGGCACAAGAAAGGAATTTGTTTAAATAACATTTTGGAAACGATAACACTTTTAATCAATTATGAATTGCTCATCACTTAGTATGTATTAAATTTACTAGCTCTTATCACTAGTGATAATTGTACTTTAATTTTTCCGTCATTCTATTATCACTCTGTGCCTTATTCTGGCATTCAGTTCATTTATGATCAGCGATGAGATCCAAAAGAGCTAAAACAAAACAAACGATGCAAAGGAATTATCTATCGTATGTCTGAAAATGCTTATGATAAATTCGATAACTTTAGTTTTCAATAGTTTTGAGATTTCTGCTATCTGCCTATCAAACATGTTAGAGTTGAATTAATTTATCTGTCCAAATTAATCAAATTTTAATATTTTGGCTGAAATTTGGTTGAACTGATTTATTGATGGATCAGCAAATTAGATCAAACTTTTGAAGAATAACTTTTTTTGAAACAAATATTCATTTTCAAGATTTTCAATGATTAATAATTGAAGTGAAGATATGAGAGTTTTTATAGGTAACACTTCTGAGTTCATTTATTTTCTTGCCTGCCTAATCACTTCATCACTGAGCCATTAATTCACTTAAATTACTTAATGTATTTACGCCCTATACAACATTTCACCGCAATTCAACATTGCTAAATAAGAGAAGTCAATGACATTTCACCTTCCTTTTCTTAGTAAAAACTTCAATAAGTAATTGAATTTAAATATTCCATGTATTTACTAGAGGAAAAGAGTTCGTTTTGACAGAAATATTCATTTGATCAGAAGTTTTCTGAAATACAGCTCTTTGTGTGTTTTGGAGAACATTTCACAGACCATTACAGTTATCGTTACGATCGAATCGCAGTGTAACTTTTCATTTTGTAAGTTCTAATTTAAACCATCGAATCGAATGACAAATATTCATAGATATGAGGCATACCGATACGAAAAAATGAATGACAATTCTAAGTTATATTTTCAACAAAATATTGTAAAAAAAGACTTTTACAAACATTTTTTAATCCAAAAAGAAGCCTTCCATTTCTCTTTGATAATTTTCATTTATATATAAACTCATCTTAATAATTTATGGATGTTCTTGCAATATGCAATTGCAAAATTGATTTGATAAAAATTATTTTATATAATTAT